CTCCGCTCTCTGCCTTCTCATGGACCGCACCTCGGCGAATGACTTGCCGGGCTTGCCTGATTTGTCTTTATTCTTGTCCTTGCTCGACGTGACGTCCAGCACCGGGATGGACGAGGATTCCTCGGCCATAATGTAATTTTGGGCCTTGGTGAGGAATTCCTGGTAGGTGGCTGGCTTGTTCTGGCACAGGGACCATTTAAACAGGGTTTTCGGCTTCAGCCCAGCCTGCACGGAGACGAGCAGGGTCTCAGGATGGCACTGTTCCATATTCTGAACTCGGTCGTTAAACCTGGTGATATAGTCCTTCAGGCTCTCGTCCTCGCCCTGGACGATGTTGGCGATTGATTCCTTGGGGGCCAGGCTGATTTGTGATCTGATGAAGTGTGATCGAAACGCCGACCTGAGCTGGCCCAAGGTGCAGATAGAGTGCGGATACAAGGAATGGTACCATCTCTGCGCCTTCGGTCCTAGGGTCAGGAAAAACATGCGACAGCATAAGGCATCCGTCGCGCCGTGCAAATCCATCCAGGAGGTGTAAAGGCCGATGTGGGAGTCGGGGTCCGAGTTCCCATCATAAAGTCCGAGCTGTGGCACCTTGATTTTCTGGGGCACGGGCTCGCGCAGGATGTCAGGAGAGAGGGGGGATGCATGATCCACGACCCGAGGAATGGGTTGTGAATAGTGGGGAGGCGACGTACCTCCCTGGGGAGAGCGCCGTCCTTCCAGTTCGGCGATTCTGCGCTTGAGGGTCGCGACTTCGTCCGCGTCGCGCCCAATGTTTTTGCCTCGCTCAATCACGTCCCTGAGGTCGCGGTTGGCCTGAGTTTTGTCGCCCAGGCGCTGGTACACGGAGCGACGTATGACATGGAGGCTCCGGTCTGGCTGGCTTTCGCCAGTCTGCTCGGTGTGTGCCGGCCTTGCGCTTTTCTCGCGCCGGGCTAGGGCAGCGCGATTGGGTGATTGAGCCGTCGTTTTGGATTTGGCGGGTTTTTTCTGCTGTCTGCCGACCTCCTTGTCGGGGGTCTGAAGTAGGGTGTTGACGGGGTTATCCGTGGCTGCCACGGTGCTTCCCCCGGTGCCTGGCTTGCAAGGGCCTTGGCGAAGACTCCTTCCAGGGCTTTGAGGACGTCGGGATGCTGCATAGCGGCAGCAAAAGTCGGGACAGGAGGGGCGGGAGCCTGGGTCCCTTGCTGGTTGCGGCGAGAGGTTTCTTCGCCGTTGTGTCGGCAAGGCTGAGCGCCGGACTGCTGGGTTGACTCGTTGTGGCTGGATGAAGCCATCTTGAACGGGATTCGAGGTGAACGAAGGTGAGTGAATATGGGGCTTCACAAGATCGAATAGTTGACACCAAGTAACTTATGGTGCCCTTCCTCTAGCGCCAAACTATTGACGAGCCTTTTCGGTCGACGGTTAAAATGATAAATGCCGAAAGTAAAAGATTGAAAACGAAAGGAGGATTCAGTTTAATTATGGTTTTATTAGGCGATCACGAGGTCGGCCTCTCGTACGAGGTCGGCACTTGCGATATACTTACAATTCTTGCAATGAGTTTCTTACAGTTTTAGGGAGAGAAAGTAGAGAAAAGGCAGAGTTAGTTGAGGTTCAACAACCCAAAATAAATGAAATGAGCTGCTATTTATAGTAGCC